CACCTCACAAGACTTCCCAAAGGAAAACTCTTTCAACAAATATATGTATCTTTTCTAAACTCTTGAATTTCATTTATTTTATATGTCAGACTCTTGAATTTCCTCTAATCCGTTGTCCAGGTTTCTATTTGAAGAAATTTGAAAAAGAGTGTTGATAGGGTTCTGGCTTCGTTGTGGATCCTGCATCGGATTGACGGTTCTGTGGGTGGAAATGTGTACCAGTTTGAAATCATTTTGAGAACCAAATCATTGATGGTAATGGTGCACATAATACCAAGTGCAAGTTTGGTCTGTTATTCAATAACTGAATTGTAAGGAACCCAAATTTACATCGAATACCAGAGTGGAACTCCATGTAAATTTCTAAATGCAATCAGGAGTTAAAAGGTAAGTTCACCGTCAAAGGGGCCGTATTCAAGAAAATGGAGCCTTTCCAGCAATCCACATGTAATAAAATTATCATTATTTATTTGTTGAAAAATCTCTGGGGCACAATTAAGTCCAAACGGCAAGTGTAAAAATCTATAAGCTCCAAAAGGAGTTCCAAAAGAGCAAAGCTTACTTTAATACTCATCAAGCTCAACTTGGTTGAACCCCTCTTTGAAATTCAAAACGGTAAAATATGATTTGGTTTTCAATTTAAGCACTTATATCAGCTAATGTTAATGTATAATAAGTATTGCCATATGTAAAAAACTAAAATGTCTGATATACCATCGTCACCAAAAATAACTAGGACAGCATCACATTAGCTCTTGTCCTATTATATGAATTTTATTGTCAAATATTTGTCAAACTATGCATTAAATGCATTGAAATGAATGACAGTAGAATTAGTCCAGGAGATTATTATGCATTATTTGTGTCCTATAGTTACTTTTGGTGACGATGGTACGACTTCTACAGCCCTTATCGTTTGAAGGTAATGTGGCAGAAAAGTTTAAACAGTCCTTTGAAATATATTTGCTTGCTAGTGGCAAAAGTAAGAAAGAAGATAAGGTGAAAATAGCTTTGTTATATAATCTTATGTGAGAAGAAGGCCTGGAGGTGTACAATACTTTAAAATTGACTGAAGCTGATAAAGATTACTTTGAAAAAGTATTGTCTGAGTTTGAGAAATACATGACCCCTAAAAAGAATGTTGCGTATGAAATGTTCTTATTCTATAATCGGAAGCAGGAAGAGGCTGAACCGTTTGATCATTTTTTAATAGAGCTAAAGAAACTTTCTAAGATCTGTTATTTTGATGCCTCTTGTGACTCTATGATTAGAGATAGAATTGTATTTGGTATATGCAGCTCAGAATTACAAGAAAGTTAATTGCATACTGAAAATTTAACTTTGGAAAAGGCCATTGACAAATGTCGAGCTAATGAGCTGGCAAAAGATCAACTGAAAGATGTGTGTGTGAAAGGTAGAGGCGATTAGAAGTCAAAGAATTGTGAAACAAGGAGATAGTAGAGGTAGATCTAGTGCTAGAGCCGCTGGAAGCCGAAGTGATCAAAAGCAGAACTCTTTCGATTGTGGAAGCTGTGGTTTTAAACATGGTCCCAAGACGTATCCTGCTTTTGGCAAGAAATGTAATAGGTGTAAAAAATTTGGACATTTTGCAAAGATGTGTCGCATTCAATAGACTACGTGAGAGAAGTTGTTGAAAAAGAAGACGAGTCAGAAGATGAGAAAGTAAAGAAGATGAAGGGTACTTGGTGACAACGATAATGGTAAATAAAATCACGGATAGAAATGAATGGACGGAAAAGGTGATAATAGATAGTCAAAATGTTATTTTTAAGATTCACACAGGATCACAGGTACACATTATTCCTTTGAATGTTTTACAAAAAATTAAAAATTAACAGGTTTCTCCCTGTAAATCAAAAATAGTTTTAGAAACATATGGTGGGTTCAAAATTTCATCTTTACGTGTAGTTGATTTGGATTGTAAATATAATGATAATAATTTTAACCTTAAATTTGTAATTGTCAAAGAGAAATCCATGGCTATTCTTGGATTAACATCATGTATGGATTTAAATATTTTTGCAAAAGTAAATATGGTTCATTTAAACAAAAGTGAAGCGGAATTCGTGAAAAACAACATGGATGTATTTGATGGTCTAAACAAATTTCAAAAAATATGTAAACTGAAATTAAAAAATGGTTCTGAACCTATAGCTAGGACACCTAGGAGGGTCCCTTTGTCACTTAAAGAGCGGTTAAAAGAACATTTGAATGATTTGGTTCATCGTGGAATAATTGCAAGGTGCGAAGGTCCCACTGAATGGCTCAGTGACTTAGTCATAGTAGAAAACAAGTATAAATCTCTTAGGCTTTGTCTAGAACCTAAGGATCCTAATTTTGCTTTACAAAGAGAGTTTTGTTTAATACCAACATTAGCTGATATAATTGCTAAATTGAAAACTAAATCATATTTTACAGTTTTGGATTTCAAAGAGGAGTTTTACCAAGTTGAGCTTGATGAGTATTCAAGTAAGCTTTGCTGTTTTGGAACTCCTTTTGGAGCTTCTAGATTTTTACGCTCGCCGTTTGGGCTTAATTGTGCCCCAGAGATTTTTCAACAAATAAATAATGATAATTTTGTCGACATTCCTGGAGTAATAGTTTACTTTGACGACTAACTTATAGCAGCTGATAGTTTGGAACTTCACGACAAAATTTTGAGTGAAGTTCTAGAGAGAGCTAGAAATGTTTGTGTTAAATCTACTATGACAAGCAACAGGTGAAAAGTATTGAAACTTGTGTCAGACCTTTATGAGTAGTGTAGTTTTCCCAGAACTTGGACAGTTGAAATACACGGTAAAAAGGAAATAATTGAGTATGAATTATTAGAAATGTAAATAAAATGAAGAACCTAAAGGCTGCAACAAAAAGGGTCTCATCGTAAAAGGAGCATATATATGCTTCAAGTTGATACAATCTATCAGAGGATCTGGCCTTAGCGGACGAATGTCTCCATTAGAATTCCATCACTGGTTCAAAGTATAATCAGTAAAACAGACTGCTGTTTTCCCTCTGTTTTTTTTTTAGGATTGTGAAGTGCGTATATATATATTAGTGAAATGCTTGTTACAACACTTGGATATTTATCGGAAATTATGAGAATAGTGTTCGGATGAGCCAAAGGATGGCACTATACTATAGGTACATAAATTTCAGTTAATTTTGAAATTTGGTAACACTCTAGCGCAAAATGTATTCCGCTTTTATTTCTACTTTTTGAGATATTCACTCGTAGATACTGTCAGTCTATGAAGGGACACCCTGTATTAAACATACAAAATCGCGATGACTCGAAATTTTAAAACTCAAACTAAAACAAATCAATAAAAACATACCAGGGCAATTTTCTTCGTCACTATTATCTTCGCAATCTTTAATTTGGTTACACCGTTTGTATCCCATTATGCAAAACCCTTCGGAACACTTAAAACCTCCGTCGGGACAGTCCTGTTGCCCTGTAGAGGAATTTTCAAAACAACAATAAAAAATTTGATGCGCAACTTTCAAAAGCCGTGCTGTTAGTTCGAAATAAAAAATAACTGAAGTCCGGGGTGCATCGTATGTACATCAAAAAAGACCCGACGATTGTTTGCAAAATTCGAAACCCGCATTCAACCTGGTATGTTATATTTTGGTCCAAAAATGCAAAAAGAAAACTAACTCCTTGTGAAAACAAAATAGCCAATATAAATACAATACAATAGCAGGTGGTGACTCAATTGTATAACTTTGAAAGGTATGATATACCAATAATAATAATTACCTGGTCTCAAAAACCAAAAGCAATTAGCCAAGTGTTCATCGCTCTGGTCCTGACAGTCATTTTTTCCGTCACACAAGCTGCCATTGTTAATGCATTTAAGGCCGTCCTCGCATTTCCAATAACCGGGCAAGCAGTCCAAACTATGCACTATGGTTCATGCAACAGGCAATGGGGAATGGTGCAAAACATGCAATAAGTTAGTTAACTACTTTACTAAATTAAAATACTACAACTATTTTATTTAAATTACTATATTGCACTAAAAGCATTCAAAGCAAAATAAACACTAGAGTATTTTTACTTACCACATCTAGCAGCACACAGGAAATACTGAGCAAATAATAGTGGACAACAATATGGGAAATACATATACCAAAAAGCGTCATAAGTAAAAATGGAAAAAAATGCGATTAATAACCAAGATGAAAGAATAATGTAATGTTTTAATGATTAAATAAATACATTGTAAATGAATATAAAAACGAAAAACATTACAAATCACCAGTTCACCAAAATTCAAAAGTGATGCGACATTATTTTATTGAGAACAAATACCAAGGCCATTAAATTATGTTACCCCTCTCATGAAAAATTGCTTGTTCGTGAGATTTATTCTGTATATACGTACTATTCCAATTATTTTAAAAATATGAGAACATTGAAAAGCTCTTACACAAAGTACATTATTGACTCTTCAAATAAATGGACAAGCAGATACCACATTTATTTACTTCAAAAGCGAATCGCATTTTTGAATAACCTTACCGCCGCAATCGTATTCATCGCTTCTGTCGCTACAATCATAGTGGCTGTCACACCTTTGGCTTTGATAAACACACTCTCCACTTTCACATCTAAATTCGGTGGGCATGCAATGAGTGGAAACTATCGCAGAAAAAAATATTTGGAGAAAAATTTTCCGTAACTACGTCTAAAAAAAAACTAATAGAATAGAATATGTACAAGAAAGGGTGAGACAACTAAAAAGGTACATAGAAAGCTAAAAATACCAAGAAAGCTTAGGGGAAATTTTTGTTTTACTACGATCAAGTAAAAGATTACAAAAGAAGACACAGAATTTAGATAATGATTAGAAAATCTATTATTATTAATGCCAAAGACTACAAGACGCCTCTACACTAAACACAATAATAGCAGACGAGGAAGATAAAACACAAAGAAGAAATAACCCATATAAATTATAATTCCAACTAACCGCAGTGCTCTTCATCCTCGGAATTCGGACAGTCGCCGGCACCGTCGCATCGTAGACTGAGCGGCACGCATGCGCCGTTGTGACATCTAAAACTATCGGGGGTGCAAAAAGTGCAATTGACTTCGTCCGTGCCGTCTGCGCAATCGATTTTGCGATCGCACCGGTCGATTTGGTCGATGCACTGACCGTTCCTGCACTGCCATTGGTAGTGTTCGCATCGTTCGAGTGCTAAGTGTATAGATTTCGGTCAATAGTTTTTTTAATGCTAGTGGAGATAAATGAATGAGAGAGTTTTGTGATAATTAATATTGATTCTTCTTGAAGTGTTTTTATCTCTCATTCATTTTGGTACCTAGTGGTGGAAAGTATATCATGTTTCGAAATTTACTTTTATTGGATAAAAGAAACATTTTACTTTTACATTTAGGTTTGAAAATCGATTTGTAAAGATTTGTAACATTCAAATTACGTTATATCAAACATAATAATTAGTTTTTTTTTTTTTTTTTTGATCTCGGTATTGAGGTGATGGTTTCTTTCCGAGAATTTTATTGGAGCAGTATTTATCTGTGTAGTGCATAGTGTTGGAGTTCCCCTCGACAACCGCTACATATTTGGCGCCCAACGTGGGGCCTGGGGGTTTATAGTGAACCACCACCCCAATGACTTACTGGACTAATTTTGTGACTGTAGACCAATGAACTATTAAACGCGAGACATTATCGGTGTAAATGTGCATCAATTGACTGAATTGTGTAAGTTTTGCCACATTCAGATATTGTTTCCACAATTTTTGGAATATTCCACACAAACCGACATTATAGTTTCCTATGTGTCCAAGTTTGTCCTCCATTTTGTACCCCAATTACCAGTTTCCTGTCTGTCCGTCCAAATTTGTTCGAAGGGTTCCTACATTACAGTCGCCTGTTTGTCAGGATTTACCCGAGTTTGCTGTTTCTCAACACTACATTTCCATCACTTAGCTTACTCCAAGCTGTATTTTCATGTTGATGCCTTATAATCTTCGATCGTGCCAAAGAAATCAAGACAAAATGGTTGACCCTGTTGTTCTGACAAATGAACAATTACAAACATTACTCGCTGGTATGAGAGATATGTTCCAAAATACGCCACAATCTACTTCCAACCAAAGTACAGCTGCCAATTTTTCTAAATACGGCTCAAGGTTTTCCGGAAAGCCAGACGAAGATGCTGAAGCTTATATTGATGCCATCACTATTTACAAAGACTGTCTGAACATAGTGACGATAACGCTGTGAAAGGTTCACCCATGCTATTAGATGGCGCTGCTGCAGTATGGTGGCAAGGCACCAAAAAGCCAAACATCTTATGGCCTGAAGTTTTAGATACGCTACGTCATGCTTTTGGCTTTAATAAACTAGCACATCAGATTTATAGAGAGCTGTTTTTTCGAGAACAGGGCAGTACGGAACCAATGGATCTTTTCGTGAATCAAGCCCAAAGTTGACAACAATCACGCCCCTGCCAGAGGAGCATAAGTTAGAAATGGTTTATGGACTCCTTCACCATAGAATCAGGGAAAAACTTCCTCGACATAAGTTCCAGAACTTTTCAGAGATGATCGACAAATGCAGAGCAATCGAATCCAGCCTTGCTGAATCCAACGTAAAAGTGACTTCTACGTCCGTTGCAGAAAAGCCCAAGGATCGGTGTGCATTTTGCAAAGCATATGGACATTTCAAGCTGTTTGCAGAAAATTTGAAGCCAAGTCTGCTGAGAAAGCCTCGTCCACTACTTCTGCCCTAACAGTCCGATCCAGTAACCCGTCCCCCACAAATGTAACATGCTATGGTTGCGGTAATCCAGGATATATCCGTTTCAATTGCCCTCAATGTAAACCTGCACCAATAAACATATCTCGGTGAACCTTCCAATTTTTTATCAACGTTTGATGGTCCGCCTTTAAGACCCATGATACCTGTCATCATTCAAAGTAAATCAGGTTTTGTTTTTGTGGATTCCGGAGCAAGATGCAGTATTGCAGGTTCAAAGTTGTTGAGCCACTTAGATGCTATTCGGCATCCATTCAAAACTGCTCCTATAAAACTGATATTTGCTGATGATATACCCCGAGAAGTTGAAGCAAAGATTTACCAGTGTTCCATCGAAGTTATGAATAAACAACGAAAACTGCAAATGATTGCTGTTCCAGACTACAAAGATAGTAAGACTTTACTTGGTGTTGATTTCATATCACAATTCGATATAGTGCTCAATATACCTGAGAAGAAATACTATTTCAATGATGATTTAAGCAATTCCTTGCCATTACAGGATGAAGTTATTGATTCCAACGCAGTTTTGTCTGTTGTTGACGGGAATGATTTGTCGTTGCCAACTCTTTCCAATATTGAAGAAGGGACATTGAAATCGCTGTTGGAACATTTGTTCGATGAAAATACATGAGTTACCCCATATGCTGAGCATACCATCATCCCCACTGATGATATTCTCATAGCTGCACCACCATATCGCTTATCTCCTGCGAAGAAAGAAGTTTCACATCAGGAGCTTAACAAAATTCTTGCCAGCGATATCATTGAAGAGAGCGAATCGCCATACGCATTTCCAGTCATCCTTGTACCGGAAAAAGACGGAACTCCACGTCTTTGTATTGATTATCGCCGACTGAATGCTGTCACCAAGAATGTTCGTTACCCGTTGCCTCGTATAGATGATCTTATCCATTCAACTGGAAAAGCTAAATACATAACCACCTTAGACCTAAAGAATGGTTAACATCAAGTACCTGTCAGAGAAGAAGATCGTGATAAAACCGCCTTTTTCACGCCATTTGGACTTTATCGATATGAGACGATGCCTTTTGGTCTATCCACACCTCCAGCAACGTTTCAAACGCTAATAAACCGTTTTTGTTCAGGTTTGCCGCATATCCAGATGTTAGGATACCTTGATGACTTAATAATTTTATCCACGACTTTTGAACAACACATCAAAGACAAAGTGATGTTTTCAACCGTCTACGCATTCACATCTTAAAGGTGAACAAGAATAAATGCACTTTCTGTACTTCAGAAGTTAAATATGTTGGTCATCTTATTGGACGAGATGGTGGAGAAGGTTGCCGCTATCATCCATCTTGCCGCACCCAAGAACGTAAAACAAGTTCTCAGTTTTCTTCAGACTTGTTCATGGTTCCGTAGATTCATTCCAAACTTTGCCAATGTCTCTAGACCGCTAAGTAACTTGACAAGGAAAAATGTTTCGTGGTCGTGGGAATCAGCACAACAAGAATCGTTGATTTATTTTTGTATCTGTATTTTGAGTCTCGTTAGATGATCCCGCATCTAAACGATCTTGAGTACAAATATAAAAATCCTTCGCATATTCTCCATATTTATAGTCTTGTAGAAACCTTTTTCGCAATGAGTTTGAAAAATCTTCATCAGTATTTGAATTTGAAAAACTTTCTGAATGTGTTTGTGACAATGACATTTTTTGTTCTTTCTTCTTTGCAGTTTTTTTTTCCGAATGGGCGCTTTCATTATTATTATTTTTGTATAATTCTCGTACTTGCATGAGTAGATTTATTTGTTCTGATTGGTTTACTCCCTTTTTTTGAGTCTATTTGAACTTTTAAGCCTCTAATTCTCGATTTTTTTTAGGGGAGTTTCATAGATCGACTTGACAATATTCCTCTGTGGAAACTACGGAGGAATATCTCTCTATTTTCCATTGTTCACTTTTAGTAGATGAAGATAATATCAGACACAAAAAATAAACTTAGTCTAGGTTTGCAACAGACTGCACCAAAACCAATTCCAAAACTTTTTCGATTTATAATTATTATGTCTGATATAGATACGTAATTATTTTCGAATTCTGAATTGAATATTAATAATAAAACGTTAATTTAACAGGTATTATTACCAACATTGAGCTTTATAGATACATATTCTATCTAGAACACCTGAATTAACTTGAAAAAAAAAAAGAATAATAAATAGTTAGTGATTAGATATCTAATATGTATTACTTATTTTTATTCTAAATCCACTTCACAACTAACTTACGGTTGGAAGCTACCTCAACCAAAAATATCTAACCTGAACCGCTCCATGATATCACCTTATAATCCACCACCTAGCATTAAACTAATATAACTCGATGCTAAATACTACTCAACAGCTTCGTAGTTTGCCAAATTATTTCAAACAAAGCATGAATTTTTGGTATAATTCAGTTTTACAGTATTTTAATACGCGGCCTTGCATGATGTTTTATCGATATTAACTCTTCATTGCCATATCTTGTTTGCGCTAGAAGGTAAATAAATAATTCTTGTAATCTTTACCTCGTAACATGGCATGCCATCACGCAAAGAATATATAATTACAATAAAAAAAATATTGTACAAAAATTATTATACGCCATCTATAGCCGAAATATTCTAAGCATCGTGTTATTGATTGCCCCCAAAACCTCGGAGATCCTTCACATTTTGAAGCTGAGACTTGCGAAATCCACAAAAGATGGCAATGCAGATACTATAACATCACATTAGATTGATATAAATTGGCAAACCACTGTTTTATTATTGGTTATCGTTTTTTTTGTCGTATATTGCATACTTTCGCAATCTCTTTCGTCGGAAGAATCCTGACACTGTCGCGTGCCATCGCAACGTTGCCGATGTGGAATGCAAAATCCGTTGTCGCAATAGAAGTCGGTATCCAAACAAGCTGCAAGATACACATGTAAATTTGATGTTTTTTCCGGGTTTTTTTGTTTAGATCTGACAACACTGAAGTGAGCGATTAAATGTTGAATATTGAAGAATTAGGACACTTATTTGTCAGATGATTGTTGTATTAGGAAGTACCTATATGTATTATATTAGGAATATCTACTAAGTATTAATCGTTTCTATGAACTTTCTAAATTAATGTGTATCATATTCTTTTAAATTACTGTTGGATACTTGGACACAATTCAATTTTAATTAGATATAGTTATTTGAATACAAAGGACAATCCATTTTTGATAAATAAGTAATTAATGTAAGCAAGGTGAATCACCAAAAAAAACACACAGACAGCAAAAAAATACCACGAAGAAATTTAAATCCTATGCGAAGATATTCCAGGCACTATACAAAACAACAAAGCCCAGGTTGAAAATGGCTTCAATGCAAAATCGCTTCTAAAATTGATGAAGCGGAAACTACCATAGGAGCATTTGGAAATCGTAGAGATGCGTAAAACGATTGTAGGGAAAGTCAAAGTGATTGATATCCAGGACAGAATGACGACAAAGATTCTTAAAGTGTTACCAAAATCACACCAAAATGAACACTTGTATTGCATGAACATATTTTTTCCAAAAGCCGATAAAACGAAGATGTACATACTTGAACAATAACTTATTATTATTATTATATAAAGACAGAATTTGTAAGATTATCCACTTTTTGTCAATTTGCCTTTTAACAGGAATTAGTAATGTTACTTTACCAAACTAGTAACATAATGTGACAAGTTATTCAAGTACAAATGAGTGAATTGTTGCGAAACTTATGGGTGGACCTCTCCGGGACGAGCGCAGCGAGTTCCGCAGCCATCTATTCATTAATATGTTGTTTAATTACGATACTAACCTGAGTCACTCAAATGTGAGTTATGCTCATTAGTTTAAAAACTACACGTTTCAGGTGAATGTCTTACTTAAACAGTTCAACAGTATATAGATGAGTAGATGGCTGCGGAACTCGCTGCGCTCGTCCCGCAGAGGTCCACCCATAAGTTCCGCATCACTCCACTTATTTGTACTTGAACAATAACTTATTATATAAGTCAAAATTTATAAGATTATGACTATTCACTTTTTATCAATTTGTCTTACAACAGAACTAAGTAATGTAACTTCACCAAACTAGTAACATAATGTGACAAGTTATTCAAGTACAAATGAATGAATTGTTGCAGAACTTATGGGTGGACCTCTGCGGGACGAGCGCAGCGAGTTCCGCAGCCATCTATTCATCAATATGTTGTTTAATTACGATACTAACCTGACTCACTCAAATGTGAGTTATTCTCATTAGTTTAAAAACTACACGTTTCAGGTGAATGTCTTACTTGAACAGTTCAACACTATATTGATGAATAGATGGCTGCGGAACATAAGTTCTGCAATAATCCACTTATTTTTACTTGAATAATAACTTATTATAAAGTCAAAAATTTGTAGGATTATGATTATTCACTTTTTGTCAATTTGCCTTACAACAGAAATCAAACTAGTAATATATTGTGACAAGTTATTCAAGTAAAAACAAGTGGATTATTACGGAACTTATGGGTGGACCCAGCCATCTATTCACCAATACGTTGTTCAAGTACAATACTAACCTGATTCACTTAGTTGTGAATTTTTCTCATTAGTTCAAAAACTACACGTTTCAGGTGAGTGTCTTATTTGAACAGTTCAACAGTATTGGTGAGTAGATGGCTGCGGAACTCACCCATAAATTTCGCAATAATCCACTTATTTGTACAGGGTGTTTTTTTATATATTGACGCCGTACCTACAGCCTTTACCTTTACAGGTAAAAACAAGGTGTAAATACAAAAGACATCTGCCCCATCCCTATTCTTCAAATATAGGACAGCTAACTTGTTCCATGTGGTGCTTCTCTCTTTTCACGTCGGGTGGTTTCCGAGAAATAAGGTCTTTCTGGAGAACTTAAATTTTGTCTTCGCCCTTTGAGGGATTTTGACCTTAATATTCTCAATTATTGAATTTATAGTACATTGAGTTGCCTTAGGTTGCGTTTCGTTTTCGTAAAGTGCTATAGAATCGCCGATTATTTCGAATTTTCACAACCATCCATTCGGTAAGTTTTGCTTTGCACGTTTTTTTCCAAAGTGGATTATGACCTTTTCTAGTTAATCATCAGTGAAAAGCTGCCCTAAGGGGTAGAGTAAAGACCACCTCACTCACTCCAGGATTTAGAATTCAGACTTCGATCCAGATTAATCCAGAGTATTTTAGAGGCAAATGAAAACCATTCCAACAGGTGAGACATAACCTTAAATTTTCTTTGCAAACTCGAGGCACATTTTCTTTACTATTAAAGCTTTCATGAAAATGCTTATGAATGAATGTCTCCATGAAGATCAAGTTTTCGAAACATGGCAAATCACATAAGTGTTTCTAGTACAAGAAGGCAAATAAAGATTTTCACTTTTACGCTGCAGGATGTCTCCAAAACGCTGAACTTGGACCACAAAGGTATTGAAATAGGTGACTAATCGCATGAAAACTTCATCACTTAATCATCCGACAGAAGCCAACTTCATGCAAAAAGCTATACAATTTTCAAAAATTTCCTGCATACAGTTTTCTATATATAGATCGATTTGGTTCCCGGTAGGTCACCCTGTATAAAAAGAATGATGCTGGAGCTAAGTCTTAGGGATCATACCAGCAATAACGAGATCAGACGAAGAACGGAAGTGGATGATGTTATAACTCAAATTATTAAAGTGCAGTTGGACTGGACACTCAGAAAATAGTCGATGAAACCATTTTCTGAAGACGAGTCGACCGATGATAACCTATCGACCCAAAAAGTTTTCAGTAGAGGACGCTGGCCGTGAAAACTTTCAGCATTGTATAACTGTAGAGCAGACTATAAGAAAATATCAGAGAGCGAAAAAGGAACCAGGCCTGTAGCATTCAGTTTTTGACGGAACAGATATGCTTTCATGTACGTCCAAGGCTGAAAACTCTTGATAAAATGATTCATAGAGTGTTCAAATGCCATAGAAAGTTTTTGCTTGTAATGGAGCAAAATTCACATTAAGGGATAGGGTTTTTGAGTGACATGGCCATTTCTAGTTGACGATTAAGGATAGAATAGAGGTGGGTTGATAGTAGGGATTAATCACAATCTAAAAAAACGAAATCAAGATGGAACATTGAATATTACCTTACCTTACCTAAAATGGATTGTCCTGTATAATTCATAGATTTACATTTTTTGCGGCAATTCAGTACAATAATAGTAATAATTATAATAATAATAAAAATCAATATAGGAAGGATATAAAAAACTTTGAAATAAATGTTGCATAAGAAGAGAAAGCCAAAGGGGTAGATTAAGAATATAGATCATATCGCAGCACAAATGTAGTTGTAGGTAAGGCCTGTTTTTGATAGGTTGAACTTCTATTATTTTCATCGCATGTTAAATTATAATTTCCCCCTATGAAAAAAAAAAAATCATTATACTTCCCTGAAAGTAACGTGTACAATAAGTAAGACTTAAGATCTTAATGTCAAATCGAATCTGATATTTGCATTTTAAGGTTTTCACATTAGCACTGTAAAACTAGTTTGCATGTTTCAAAATTTAAAATTTAATTCAATGATAAGACCACGTTTTACAACGAAAAAAAAAATCAATTTAATTTTTACAATTCAATTTATGTATCAAAAACAGGCATGTAAAAGGTCACTGAAATGATAAAAATGAAATTCTGCGATGATGAAACTGAACTTACGACATTTTCTCTCGTCACTCTGATCAGAACAGTCATATTCTCGATCACAGAGTTTGCTCTTGGGGATGAGCTCTCCGGATTCACACCTAAAGTATTCGCCAGAGGGTCCCGGTGCTGATTTGTGTGTAACATGCAAAAATTGGTTGTTAGGTTTAAAAGGGCAGCCAATTCTTTTGGATGACAACATTACTCGGTGTAATTTTTTAGAAATTGAAGATATTTGCTAGTTTGATTGATACATAAACATAAAGACAAACTAAAAATTACCTTCAAAAGAATCTAAAGTCCGACACCAAGGAAAAAAAAATTAATAAAATCAAAATGCACTGAAAAAACATAAACAAAAAATAATCGGTAAGCCGAGCAAATCTGCAAGCAGTTAAGAGCAATCATTCGTTGAAGCGTGGTGTGGCTAATTTTACATTTTCATGCTCACGAAACGGGATGATTTTGCCACTTAAATTTAGTGGCAAACTCACTCTATTTCGTATCAATATTCTCAATACGATTGAAAACAGGTCCACAACCAGCAATACAGGACAGACAAAGCTTACCTCCTCCAGTGCAATTTGCTTCGTCTGCTCTGTTGCTACATTCTGGAGTGCCGGTACATCTCAAGTATCCAGGTATGCACTGACCATCGCCGCAATTGAATTCAGATGGAAGGCATTGTTCACTAGCTGCAAAAAAAATAAATAAAATTAACAATCGTCAGTTTATCAATATCAGACGAATTTCAATTCAACCCGCATATGAACAGAAACAGATTTTTTTTTGAAAATTCTACAAACTTCTATGGAATTCTATTTGGAAACCGTTAATGATACGAGAATACTGACTTTATAACCAGATTTGACATCGAAAAACAAGCTCAGAAGCGGAAAATTCCAGAAACACTTCTATAGAGTTCTATTTGGAAACCGGGAGGGATACAAAAATAGTGACTTCATTACTGGCTTCAACATCGGAAAACAAGATCACAGACACATGATCTTAAATTTAAAATTTCGAATTTTACCAAGATAAAATTTTGTCTATAAATGATAATTTTGGAATCGCCTGAGCTCCATACTGTGAAATTTGATTCTGAAATTTTTGAAAAACGTGCAGCGTAAAAATTGAAAGATGATAGAACGTAATCCTCTTTCCTTAGCGGTGTTGTATCTGTGGAATCCTAATATTCGAAGGAAGCTAAAATTTTGTTATGGGGTATAGGCAGAGATAAATACTATAATATGTATAATATAAATATAAATATAAATATAAATATAAATATAAATATAAATATAAATATAAATATAAATATAAATATAAATATAAATATAAATATAAATATAAATATAAATATAAATATAAATATAAATATAAATATAAATATAAATATAAATATAAATATAAATATAAATATAAATATAAAAATAAAATATAAAATATAAATACTAAATAAACTGTAAACTATATAAAAACTATATAAACTGGGTATAGGTTTGGGAAATGTCATCTTTTGACATATTCGTCAATGTTTGGCAACTTTCGGCTCTGGAAATGGCCCTGGGTTAGGTTGGGTTTTCTGTGAGAGTTCCGATGTTTACTCCCCTTATGATGAAGGTGGAAACGAGCGTGGGGGAAGCATGCTTTATTTATTCGAATTGAACAGCTGACTTCCCAAATACAGCATGATGAAGGTGGAAATGAGCGTGGAGGAAGCATGCTTTATTCATTCGGATTGAACAGCTGACTTCCCAAATACAGCATGCCTGATTCTGGCTATTACCGGACACGTGCATAAAACATGTTATGCAGTTTCGTCCTCTTCCATGCACAGGCGACATCAGCATCTTGAGCTACTCGGATCCTGTGCGTGTGACGCCGCAGTGTACAGACCCACCAGGATTTTGAGGCTTTTCCTGCCCATTCCCAGAAGTGTGTCCGCTCTCCTAGCATTGCTTGGCCTCTATATTGGTCCAGGTCGACATTGGGTCGGGTGGTTCGCCGTATTTAGAGCTATTTCTGGTACTGGTTCCAGTCCAATGAAGTTTAGCTTGTTTTTAAACGATTTCTGTCGTAGTCATCTGCTTGTTAGAAAAGTTTCAAAGTTTTCTTCGAATGGAGGAGGGCTTTCATAAAGCGAGCAATCAGAGAAATCATAGTTCATATAGACCAACAAGCAAATATGGCAGAATTGTCGATACTTCGAGATCGATGTCAGTTTGGTCCTCTCTTTTTTCGGAGAGGTGATTTTGTAAATTTCTTTTTGGGTTGGGAACGTGGTAGTTTAAGGAATCAACCCAACTTGGGATTTGCTTTGAGGTTTCACTCTGATTTTACTAAGGTTCGACTCGTTAGAGTTAGGTTCGACTCAGGTTCAAAGTACCTTCATAATCCATTTGCATGTAAGAACTAATTAACCAAGACCGTTGGTTATTTGCTCATGAAGCATCATTTATCTCTGTAAGTGAAGATCCTAAGCATAGGAGATGAGAAGCTAGAGTTATCTTATGTGGATAAAATTCAAAACATTCCATAATTTTCTATGTTTATCACTTTATTGAAGGATATTTTGAAGGTTGATGCTGAATTGCAAAGTTTTCTATGCTTTTTTTTTAGTTTGCAGTCAATACCTGCATAGTTTTATCAAAATAAGATGTGATTTGGGTTATCCAAGAGAAAAAAACAAATATGTAGTTTTAATTTTCACGTTTCATCTATATTTTAACCAGTTCTTTTATTTTTTTTTTTTTTTTCGATAATCCTACCAGTACCCATCCTATAAAACATAAGGCCATTTGTATTTTTTTTTTTTTTTTCCTCCAAATTAAATTCCCTAAAATAGTCCGCGAAAAATTAATTGGAGTTCGTATCATAGTTTTCGAAAATGAAAAGTAAAACTCGGTGAGCTAAAAAATTGAATTAATTAAAAAAACGGGCCTCGGCGCGGTGGTGGTGGTGCTGCGGTTTTAAAATGTATAATTATTTCAATTAAGGGCAGTTTTGCATTACATCATTAACCTGTAGGCCATTAGTATTTTGATAAGGATCTCCCGTGTATACGGAGGTATCAACAAAACGGCGCTTGTTGAAAAATAATTGTTTATTTTCGCAACTTTCAAGAGAAGTGGGAGAACAATAAAGTTAACCTTTTCCCGCTGGAAAATTCAGTTCTATTGTTATGATGGTAATATATTCTTCCAAACTTGCACGTTTTAGTGGGAACTTTTATCTACAAGCGTTTGGTTATGACGTTTTTACTTTACCTTTTTTCTTGTATTTGAGTTATGTCATGAGACTCATAACAGAACAGTGGTGTTCTAGGCTAGGTTATGAATTCATAACACAACTAGTGGTGTTATGGACTAGATTATGAATTCGTGACAAAACTTTTTTCGGTAATTTGACAAATGTCAAAGTTAAACCTGTAATAGTTATTTAAGTATTAAGGGCGGTAAGTCTCATTTACCGGTATTAGTTGTTGGATGATTATAATAAATAATTCTAGCTGATTTATCTCCTAAAAGAGACGGGTGGTAAATAACTATTATCTACGAGCATTTGGTTATGACGTTTTTACATAACCATTTTTCTTGTATTTCCGTTATGTCATATGTCATGAGCCTCATAACAGAACAGTGATGTTATGGACTAGGTTATGAATTCATAACACAACTATTTTTGATGATTTGACAAATGTCAAAGTTAAACCTGTAAAGGTAAAATGAAGGTAGACAACGAATGATAAACGAAAATGATTGAAGAAACATTCACATTTTTCGCTTTGTAGATAAAACGTTGTACATCACACGTGCGTTTAAACATGACTACAAAACTCGTATGATTAGAACGACTCGGTCTACGACCTCGTCGTTCTAATCTTTCACACTAGTTATTGTCATTAGGTTCATAAACGCACTTGTAATGTAAATAACTATTTCCTACGACCACATACGAAAATGACAAAATTCGCACTAGTTGGTTCTTTGGAAAGCGCTTAATATCACACGCGTGCTGAAAGTAAATACAATACGTGTACTGAAAGTATACTTTCAGCACATGTGTGGAAAATACTGTTGACATTATTTGTGATTGACATTGACAATTTACTTTCAATACGTGGGTTGAAAGTTGAAAATACTTTCAGCACGTGTGTTGAAAATGAAAAGAAATAAAATAAGAGAAAATTGGTGTAAATAGGTTTCTGGTCGTAGGAAAAATAGTGTACATTACTCGTGAGAAAGCGTGTTTCATACACTCGTGTGATTTTTTGAAAAATACTCGTATGAAATTTGTCACTTTCTACACTCGTAATGTAATATACTAATTACCTACGAGCGAGCGGAAAAGTGCACTTTACCGCACCTATTTGAAAATGGAAAATATAGCACTGCACTGCCACTATGCGGTAAAGCAGACTATAATCCTAATAATCAAAAATCCCTTCTCTTCCAGAAATTTCAATAGTGCCTTTTTTTGGATCTCCAAAAGCTCCAGATGTTGATAGGTGAAATTTTGTACCTAACACAACGACTACGATTCGCGTTGTATCACTTTTCGGTGAATAACTTTAACATTGGGGTTTAGGACATGTGTAATGAAACTATAATAATAATATTTGAAAATATGTTTTCTTCAATTGGTTTCAATAAGGTCGTAGATATTCATTTCAAAATTCAATTATAAAACAATGATTGTATAATTTTCAAGAGGCTCCTTTCTTTTTAAATGCCGCTAGTGGTATTTCAATACAAAATAATTCTAAACAACGACATTATTTGTGCAAAGTCATTTGCGTTGAAAATTGAATTTATGCTGGTATTTAATTGCAGTATTTTGCCTTTGGTGACATCATACTTTTAAATGGCAGCCTTGAAGGGCCGGCGGGATTTTTAGGCACATTCAGGTGACTTATTATAATGAAAGTAATATAATATGTATAATTCAAGTATGAAATGATTATTAGATACGTTAGTGGATATCTAGCTGAGTATATGATTAAGAAGCGTTTACGTATAGTTCTTGATTCTCACATCGATTATTTAAAAGCACCAGTACCATTTGCTAAATGCTTTTCATAGATCTCTTTCCGGTGAGTCCCATTATTTTGTTGATACTATTTCGAAGTTCAAGGGATTCTATGTTAATAATGTAGTAGCTAGTGTTGAAGTTGAAGGCGATTTGGATGAGTTAAAAGGCCAGTTCGATCTTAGAGAGTGGGAGTATTCTCACCAAGAGAGGTCAAATAACGTTGCGAACTGTCTGGGGCTTCTATGGAACAAAAGCATGGACACACTACAAGTTTTTACGGATTGGGTGAAGCGGATAACGAATCATTTCGAGAATAAATAGGTTATGTCAAAACACTAAATTGGCGCAGTTGGTAGGATAGTACAGTAACTGTATCACTCGAATTTGTTTTGATATTTGCTTATCGAAATTATGCCGTTCCTCCTGTTTCTTATTTCATCAGTCTTTTCTTCCAGTATCATGTTTGGATTTTTGGATGTCATTTCTTCGTAGATGATCCTATGGTCGAAATTCATCCTAAAGTTACTGCCACAAACAGAATCTATTCAGAATTTCTATACTGTCATGATTATGCGATTGTTGTTTTCTACGATAAAATCAATCTCGTACAGGACGTTTTGCTCATTTTTCTTGATTTTTCCTGGAAGTATTCAAGATAGAGAACTTCCGATGTAGTGTGAATTCACAAAGTATCTT